GAAGTCTCCATTGTTCCGTGAGCGACAATTTCATCTCTAGAGTGTCTGAGCCTCTTGGACCACAAAAAGGAGGGCAGAAGCGGGAGTGGGGAAAGCCCGCCATGTCTGGTCTGTGAGGGCCCAAGTCTGTCCTCAGGAATTACACCAGAGCGCTCCAAGTCCAGTCCCTCCCTCCCCCTCGCTTTTTCTCCATCCCTGGAGTTCTAATCCTCTGCCCCGTAGCCCCGGCCCGCCACAGGGAGCCTTTCTCCACCATCCCGGGCTCCGCGCCCAACTGACGCCTCCAGCCCCCTCCCTCCGGCTTCTAGCGCTGGCGGGACTCGACCCGGGACGCAGCTGGTGGCACCAGGCCTCCTGAGGATCCCCAAAACGGGCCTCTGGAGAATCCTGGGAGAGCTGCACATCCCGAAAACTGCTAAGACACTACATGGCTTGCGGTCTGGCCCGACCCGAGGACAGAGAAAAGGGAGGCGGCCCGGGAAAGAAAGGTCTATGTAGAGACTGTGCCTGTGTTCTCACGTGGAGGCGGAGTGGCTGTTCCTCCAAGACCTGCCTGCTCTTTCTTTTCGTGAGGCAGTCGTCTCCTCCGCCCGGCCCGGCCCCGGGCCCCAGGGTGGAATGTAGCATCTTGTAATGTGGCAATCACTGCCAAACCCGTCCCCGCGAGGGGAATTCCCGCCAGGGGGCCTTGGAGGGTTGTGGGGCCTCCTCATCCGCCCGCGTCGGTATGTTTGGGGGTAAGGGTAGGGGGCCGGGCAGCGGGTAAGCTTAGGGGGCAGATCCCAGGTAGGGAAGGAGAACCTGGAGGCGGGGGAAGGGGACGGGAGGGAGACTTTCCTGGAGCAGTTTTGGGTATCACAGCCATCTGAGAGCCTGCCAGTCTCTGGAGAGCCTGGTTGGACCGGGCCAGGGGCTCGAGTAATCAAGACTGCAGGATCGCGTCCCACCCACTGGCTTCCGGGGACCCCCAAGACAAATGCAAAGGGATCTGTATTTTAGAAGGAAGAGAGAATCTGTATTTTCATTCTCAAAGAGGTCTCTGTCCCTAAGCATGTTTAAGGCGCTGGTGGTCGTTGTTCCCTAAAGAGAAAAGACCCGGTTAGTGACTTTTGAGCGAGTGCTTGGGACGGGGATGTGAAGAGGGGTGTGTGTTTTGGGGGAGTGGGGAATGGCTCTTGGGTTTTACAGTGAGAACGACTTTGAAAGGTCAAAGGGCTTTCTACTCCCCGACATCATTCTCCTTCGGGGGACCTTCCAACAGTGGAGGGGACCCTTCGACCACTTCCACATTCCTCTCTTTACCCTTGTTTCCCTCCTCCCTCCTTCTACTACAGAACTGTTTGTAAACAAAACTCCAGTCTTCCAGCGCTCTCTCCGCCCCCATCAAACCTGATACTTCCCCCAGACTCGCCCCACCAGTCTCGGAAATCCTTTCACAGGACGGATATTCACAATTTTCACAAGTAATCCTGAAAAGAGGCCGAGGGGAAGCTTCCTAAACGGTCCCACATTGCAGCCGCGCTGATTAGGCCCGGGATCCATTCCTTTTCTTCCCTATCCTCTCTAGCCCCGGAGCGGCGGGTCAGGCGGCAGGAATTCGGGGCAGCGGGAGGGGGGTGCGCCTACACTACGCGGAGCACCCAAGGCGGAGTGGCGGGTGGCTGTACACGATCTGGGGGGGGGGGAGTGGGGGAGGGGTGAATGGGGGGGGATGCGAGGAGAAGGGAAGCAGGGCGCACCCGGGCTGCTTGCAGCAGGAGTTAGAACTCGGTGCCAGCGCTCTGCCGGAGTTCCGAGCAACCCTGCCAGGAGGTGGAGCGGAGAGGACCGGGCACCCCTCACTCTTCAGCTTTCCTCCCCCTGCTTCCCAGCGCTTGCCATATCCTGTCTCTGGCCTGATATTTCACGCGAGCAAATGGAAGGGGATTACAAGGAAGATTTATGTGTGTTTCGAGCGCGGCTGGTTTCCCAGTGTAGGGAGCTGAGATCGCTGCTTCCCATTTCCATTTTTCATTTGCGCTTTACGGAGCGCAGTCGGACGCGGGGGGAGCGTGTCTCCGCGGCGGCGGGCTGATCACAGGGCTCCGCGTCTCCTGGCGGGCCGGGAGACTGTGAGAATGGCTTGCCAGCGCGTCGCCCCCGGCGGGGCTGGAGCTGGCCCCCGCTCCCCCAGCCGGCTTTGTTTCTCCCCTCTCTCACCCCTCCTCCTCCCCGCCCCCTCACTTCTGGGACCCGGGTGCATCCAGGCTTTCCCTTCTCTTTGCCCTTCTCCTTGTCTTAGGAAACGCCCTCTTCCTCTGGCCCCTGCACCCTTCTGCTCTCTGCTTCGAGGGCTTCCCGGGGAAAGGCGCTCCGTGGTCCGGCCCTACCCCGCCGCCGCCGGGTGCCAGGTTCGGTGACTCCGGAGAGTCTGTAGGGCCTCGGCCCACCCCGGAGCTGGGGCCGCCCGCCCTCCCGGCTCCCAGGCTCGCTCATGCCAAGGCCTGTTGCGTGATTCCAACTTGGGCTGACATTCTCTGCCCCGGGCGCTCCGGCGTAGGCCTCTTAATCATCTTGTCTGCTGCAGATCCTCGACACCAGCCAATTTACTGCCCCGTCTCTCTTCGCCGGTTTCAGGAGGGGGAGGGGAGTGTGAGTATAGGAGGGGAGGGCACAGTGAACCGCAGGAAGAAGGCTGGCATCAGCTCCTGGCAAAGAAAACGGTGGAATTTGGAGTCTGGGGGAGGGGTAGCAGGAATGGGGGTCTGCTTAGGGAAGTCAGAATCGAGGGGTCAAATGGGCTTCAATCCAGGCTTTGCTAGCCTGGGAAAACAATGCAGGAATGCAAATGGACACTGGACTGTGTAGCCTCCCTGCCTTCCCCAGAGCTCCAACTCCTTGGACCACACTCTGTTGTAAACCAGATTCGATGCAGGCCCCAAACAATCTGGCCAGAAAAGTGAGGATCCCTCTCCGTGGTGCCTAGAAAGTCACCCTTGTCCCATGACTAGGGTTTGGTTTTGTTTTTGGCAGGGATTATTTGAAGACGCACAGCAGGACGGCCTGAATAATCATTCTAGAGGAGAAGAGGCCTGGATCTGGCAAGCAGGGCTCTCTGGCTTGCCCTCAACTTCTTCTGTGATGGCTGGTCACTTCAGAGGTAATGGCTAAGGTTCAGGCTGCCATGTAGGAAGGACCCAGAGCTCTCCCAGACCTAGAACGCTGCTCTTCCACACAAGGTGAAGTTGGCAAGGCCTCTGGGTAACTCTGGGCCTCATAACTGCAGGCAAATTAAAGTCTTACTACTATCTGGGGGCATTGGAACAAAATAATATACTAAGAGCAAAAAGTTATTGATTGCATACAGTATGCCACATTCTGTTACATCATTGCCTCATTAAATGCTCACAACTCTGAGATAGCTGCTATTATTAATCCTGTCTTATACATCTGCAAGCTGCAGCACAGAAAGGTTAAGTGAGTAGCCTAAAGTCACACAGTCAGACTGAAGCCAGGAAGCTTCCAATTGTTGGCCCCAGCGCTTTCAAGGAAAGGGACTTTTAGTTCAAGCCTGGATTACCTACCTACCCCTGGCCTTTGCAGGGAATGCCAGAAATTAGGGTCACTTCCAAAGCTGGAAGCTAGTTAAAGTAGAAAGCAGAGCAGAATAACATAACGTATCTTTCCCCTCTGAGATTCTGAAGTGGAACAATACTGCTTCCACAGCAATGTGCATTGGTCTCCGTGTGAATGTGCATGAATTTATGTCAGTGTTAGGTGTTAGTGTAAGTGTGATTCAGTATGTGATAGTTTGGTTGTGATTGTGAGAGTCACAGTGTGTGATTGCATGTGTGCTAGCGCACCTTTGTGCGCCCGGGGTCGCCCTATATTGCAGTCTCCCGAGGGCCTGGGTGACTCACTGAGTTCTCAGCTCAGCCAGCCCCAGAAGGGCCGCGGGGCAAACAGAGGGGAGGGTCTAAAGTAGGGGTCTGACCCCGGTTTTGACTGGTTCCCCGCGGCGACT